GTTTCAGTCCCCATATGGATTGCCGGATATAATAGGTCATGTGCTATCCCTGTCCTTTGTAGCCTTTGTGACCTTAAGGAGGACTCTAGTTTTCCATTTATATGTTTAAGTACCAACCTTACCAGCTTAAAAATGTAAGCTTTTAACACTGCTCTCTCTGTTCTGTATCCTTCCGATGAAAAGTGGAGTTGGGTTGCAGCACAGGAGAAAAATTCAGAAGGGGAATATTGAAGTAATGACTGTAGTAGGAGAAGAGAGAACCTATTTCCCTGGCCACAGGCGCTGGCATCCTGGACCACAGGGCTGCCAGCTTCTCCGGGGATTTCTGTGTGTGGTTACCATCCTATATAATAAAAGGGTAATATGCAAATCAACCAAATGGTGGAATGACCAGTCGCTATGATGTGCACTGACCACCAGGGGGCAGACGCGCAATGCAGGAACTGCCCCCTAGTAGTCAATGTGCTCCCACAGGTGGAGCACCCCTCAGCCACACCTGGGCTGACAGCTGGCTAGTGCAGTGGCAGTGGCGGGAGCCTCTCCTGCCTCCACAGGATGTCCAATTTTGGCTTAGGCCCACTCCCCACCATGAGTTGGATATCCCCCAAGGGCTCCTTGACTGCTAAAGGGTGCAGTCCAGGCTGAGAGCCCCCACCTTCCAAGTGCACAAATGTCATGCACCAGGCCTCTAGGTAGATTTATAAAAAATTGAGTTGTATATACACCGTAATTTGTTGTTTATTTTATTTTCATTTTTTAGTACCTCTGATCTTCATCTTTCTTAGCCACTTCAGACCTGTCACCCCTCGTCTTTTATATTTTTGTTGTCACAAATTCTCCCTGTTTATGTTGTAAGTTTTTTTGTGATCTTACTTATAGTGTTGTGACTTTATGGTCTTTGTTTCAAGTAGAATAACTCTTTGAGTATTTCCTGCAATTGAGCTTTTCTGGTGATAAAAATCCCTCAGCTTCTGTATGTCTGGGAACATCTTTATTTCTCCTTCATATTTAAAGGATAATTTTGCTAGATATATTATTTGTGGCTGGTAATTTCTCTCTTGTAGACATTTGAATATTGGTACCATTTTCATCTGGCATGTAGAGTTTCTGCTGAGAACTTGGGTGAAATTCTGATGAGTTTTCCTTTGTAGGTCAACTTCATTCTTTTCCATGGCTGCCTTGATAATTTTTTCTTTGTCGTCAATTTTAACAGCTTTAATACAAAATACCTTGGAGAGGAACTCTTTGGATTGACATAACTAGGTGTTCTGATTACTTCTTGGATTCAAGGATCTAGTCTTTCTATGGTTTTGGGAAGTTCTCACCCACTATTCGTTTTAATAGACTCTCCATTCCATGCTCCCTCTCTTCCTCCTCCACAATGCCTATAATTCTAATATTGCCTTTTCTGATGGAGCCAGATAGCTCCTGTAGAGCTCTTTAATTTTTCTTTATGCTTAGGTCTCTCTTTTCTTCCCTATGCATCATTTCTTGCTTCATATCTTGGATATCACTAATTATTTCCTCCATTTTGTTAGTTCTGTTTTCTACACTAAATAGTTTACTCTCCATCTCCTTAATTGCACTGTTCATTTTCAGAATTTCTGATCAGTTCTTTTTGAAAATTCTAATCTCTTTGGTAAAGCACCCTTTTTGTGTATTGATTTGTTTTCTGAGTGCACTGAATTCCCTGTTGGTATTTTCTCTCATCTTGTTGAGTGTTTTCAGAACTGCAATCCTGAAATCTCTGTCATTTATATCACGTTTCCATGTGATTCAGTTTTCTTCCTGGAGATTTTTCATTTCCTTTCTTGTCATCTCCATTACTGTGGTTCTTCATGGTACTTGCTGTCCTTTGCTTACACATTTATCTCTGAAGAGGCCTTTCTACTATTTTCCAAATTTGTATCATCTACGAGCCAATCTCCAATTCTATGTGTATATGACCAACCATGTCTCAAGAAACAGTTTCCTGATACTTGTTCAGAGCCCTTCTAATGATGGATACTGTGTCTCTTATGATAAGAAAAATAATAATTAATATTTGGATTTTACTTTAAATACATAGTGCATTTTTTTTTGGTATTTTTTAATCCTCACCCCAGGATATTTTTCCATTGATTTTTAGAGAGAAGAGCAGGTGTGAGACAGAGGGAGAGAAACATCAATGTGAGAGAGACACATCAATTGATTGCTCCCACACTCACCCCAAGCCGGGTACATGCCCTTGAGTGGAATTAATCTCATGATCCTTCCTTCCAAGGGCCTATGCTCTAACCACTGAGATAAACATGCTAGGGCAAGAGTTTTTGTTTGGTTTGGTTTTCATATTTTTCTTTTCTTTTTATTTTTCTGGTGGGTTTTTGGTGTTTGTTTGTTTGTTTTGATAATTCTATGAGGTGGGTGGTATCTCCTTGTGGTTTTAATTTGCATCTTTCTAATTATGTTGAACATCTTTTATAGGCTTATTTCTCATCCACACAACTTCTTTGGTAAAATGTCTGTTCAAATTTTTTACCAGTTATATGTTTAGTTATTTATTTTCATCTCATTGAGTTTGGAATTTTATATATTCTGGAACCAAGTCCATGAATATGTGATTTTTAAATATCTTCTCTTTATTTGTGGCTTATCTTTTATTTTATTTACAGTATCTTTCACAGAGCAAATTTAAATCCAAATCTTCCTCTTTTTTTAATGACTCATGCCTTTTGTGTTGTATCTAAGAATTCTTTCTGGTCCCAAGGGATATAATAAAGAAAACCTTTTGTGGGTGTTTTTCTAAAAAGTCTTAGTCTTACAGTTACATTAGATCAATGATTTATTTTATATAAGATGTGGAATATGGGTCAAAGTCCATAATTTCTTTTGAATATGGATGTATGATGTCTTAGCCCCATTCATTCATATATATATATCTTCCTCCAATGAGTTGTCTTTGCCCCTTGTCAAAAGCAATTGGCCATATTTGTGCATATTCATTTCTGGGCTCTCTATTTTAATCCATTGATCTATTTGCAATAGATCTTCACAAACACCATGTTGTCTTGATGGTGGTAGCTTTATATTAAGTCTCAAAATCATGCAGTGTGAGTCCACCAACTTTCTTTTTCTTCAAAATTGTTTTCGCTAACCTACTTCTTTTTCCTTTCCATACAAAATTTAGTATCCGCTTATTCTTATCTACAAAAGATGGGACGTTGATTGAGATTACATTGAATCCACATAGGAAGGAATACACTTTGGGGGGAAATTATATATTCAGAGGCTTTGCTCATTTGTCTATTTACTTTTTCCTTCACTAATTTGTAAAAGCCATATGTTTCTCTTAATAATGTTCTTTTACAAGGAAAAAAAAACACCATTGTGGGACCAGCAGGCATGGAGGCCAATGCACTAAGCCCAGTGTACTGTTTCTCCCCTCAGGCTCAGAGAAGGATGGAAGCGGAGACTGGAGGAGAGACTGCGGATGCTGGACCATCCTGAGGAGAAGCCCCAGGAGGCAAACACTGTGGGCTGACAGCCTCCTGCCTCCTTCACTTCACAGACAACAAGCCAAGGGCACTTTCTAGGAGATAAACGGATGCTTCCTTTCTGTCCACTTACTGAGCAGGACACTCAGTTTGCTCTCCCATTTACATGCGAGTCCTTCCTGTGCTCATGGAGGCCCCTGCCC